CATTTCTGCCACTAAGCAAGCAGAGCAAGAAAGATGATTTGAGAGAAGGAAGTGAAAGACATCAGAAACAGATCTCCAGGCCTCCCAGGGCAGGATCTTAGCACCTGCTGATTCTTCTGTTCTGTCTTCACAGACAGCCTGAAAAGGTTCTTGGTGGACACAGCGGCTTGCGCCTGTAATCCCAACACTCTAGAAAGCTGAGGTGGAGGAATGTTGAGGCCAGAGTTGGAGGACCAACCCTGGACAAACAAAGCAGAATTCCATCTCTCCAAAAAAACCACCCACAAAGAAACCAGAAAACCCAAAGAGCCAGGTTGGTGGTGAAACCTCTGTAGCAGGAGGGATCATTTTTTTTTTTTTAACTTTTTGAAGCCAATCTCATATTTCTCTTTAAAGAGCAGTGTTGGAAAACAACTTTCTTAATTGCAAGAAGTTGTTAACGATAAACATTTTCCATCTAGAAAGTAAAGGATAACATTCATGAAAGGCTACTGATTTGTGCCAACCTGCTACCCATAAGGAAAATGCTGGAAGTCATATGCAGACAAATTCACACATGAGAACAATAATAATTGCACCTTTAAAATCTTCTGTAAATCCTAACAATTACTTTACTCTAATGGCAAACATTTCTTGAACTTAGTGTTTTGTTATGCTTACCTGGTAGAGAAGGTGTTTGTTTCTCGTTTCTTTCAACTGTAACTTCTTCCACTGTTTTAGGTGTGTGATCATCAGCATGCTTTACAGGAGTTGAGACAGCCCCAGGCTTAGAAATTCTCTCTTCATCTCTACTCCGGAGACTATATGTCATTAAAATAAAAAATCAAGAGCATAAGAATGATTCTGGAAAGCATCTGTAAGAGAACAGTATAAGAAGAGGCAATGCAACTTCAAAAACAATGACAACCTGCTCTAACAGATACCAAAATATTACAAAAACCTAGTAATTAAAACTAGAATAGCATTACCACAGGAAAACCACATAGATTAATGTAATAAAATCAAAAATGAAGACATACATCTATAATAGCAAAATTTATTATAAAAGTAGCATTCCAAAACTGTTGGAGAAGAAACACAACATTTAATAAATAGTGTTGGGACCACTGTCCACAAATGTAGAAAAATTAAATCCCTATGACAAAAATAAACTGATTTCAGATGAAATCAAGTCCTAAAAAAAGAGTTTAAACATTCACATAATCAACAGGAGCCTTTTAAAGTAAGACTCAATGAAGCCACAGTATATTAACAAAAGTGATTACATAAAAATAAAGTACGTGCAAATAATTGGGAAAAATATATAATACTGGGCTGAACTAAATGAAATGGGAATTCCTTAGTTCAAACAGCTCAATGTTAACAATTTCACACAGTTTGACCAAATATAAATGCTGACTATGTACTGACTTAAGCAACATACATAAGAATTTGATACTTAAAAAAAGAAAAGACAGGTATGATGGCCTACGTCTGTAATTCCAGCACTTTAGGAGGCCAAGGCAAGAGGACCGCTTGAGCCCAGAAGTTTGAGACCAGCTGGGCAACATAGCAAGCTCCATACTCTGTAAAAAAAATTTAAAACTTAGCCAGGCACTGTGGCTTGCTCCTGCAGTCCTAGCTAGTTAAGAGGCTGAGGTGGGAGAACTGCTTGAGCCAAGGAGTTGGAGGCTGAAGTGAGCTATAACAGAGCCACCACACTCCAGCCTAGGCAACAGAGCAAGACTCCGTCTCTTGGAAAAAGAAAAAGAGAACTATAAATCAATCAAGACAACTCAAGAGAGAAATGCAAAAATACAAAGAGGCTTTTCAGCAAAAAGGATGCACAAATACGTAATAAATATGCAAACACATTTCACCTCACTAGGAACTAGGGAAATACAAATTAATTAGAAACTGTATTATCGGCCAGGTGTAGTAGCTCACACCTGTATTCCCAGCACTTTGGGAGGCCGAGGCGGGCGGATCACGAGGTCAAGAGATCAAGACCATCCTGGTCAATAAGGTGAAACTCTGTCTCTACTAAAAATAGAAAAATTAGCCGGGCGTGGTGGCATGCGCCTGTAGTCCCAGATACTCAGGAGGCTGAGGCAGGATAATCTCTTGAACCCGGGAGACAGAGGCTGTAGTGAGCTGAGATCGTGCCACTGCACTCCAGCTTGGCAACAGAGCAAGACTCTGTCTCAAAAAAAAAAGAAATCTTATTATCATCCATGAGAACTTTCACGTGATAACATCACTGGTAGGGAAACATATGGGGAAACAGACATATTCACAAAATGATGGTAAAAGTTTATGACTATTTGAAGGCAAACTGGAAATTATCAAAACAAAAAATGTAACTAGGTCACACCTTGTAATTCCACTTCTACATTTATTCTAGAGAAGTACTAACAAATGTACTCAAGAAAACATTTATAAGAACATTCATTCCAGTATCAGTTTGTGGCAAGAAACAAAATAAAACTAAATATTCATTAATAATTTCCCCAGATAAACAGAAATCATACAGTGTACCAAGACAATATATATTTTAAAAGAAGCCAATAAATGTATCTTTAATAAAAAGATAAATCAAGATCTATAATTTTACAAAGTATCACGTATACATGGTTTTCCAGCTGTAATCTCCCAACCTTGGAAAAACAAAATAATTTGTTTAATTATCCTGGACCACAGAAAAATACAAAAAGCTCTCTAATTCACTTAAAAAAAACCCTTTATTTCCAAACATATACAGCAATACAGACAATAGTATCATAAAACCCCATGTACTCATCTTCAACAATTATCAATACTCTGGTCATCAGCATTCCAATCTGAGGCTACCAGAACCTTTAACATCCAAATCTTGACGACAACAGTACAAAGAGAGAAAGTAATATTTTTCATTATGAATAGAGGAAAAAATTCTAAATAAATAAAATACTAGCTAGGAGAATACAGTAGTATATTAGAAGACTATCATCAGCGTTATTTCAAGGGTGCAAGATTAGTTCAACATTAGGAATTTGTTGACACAATTCATTACTGTGCACAAATATTTACAGAAAAAAAGTGTTAATATCAAACAGGCATGAGAAAATTTGCAGTCATTCCTAAACAAAAAATGAAATAAGCAATATAATTATGAAAGAAACTATTTTCTAAAACCAAGAGCAAACACCCTATCAAACAGTGAAATGCTGAATGTATTTACACTACTTACACCAAAATCAGTGACAGGACAGTGATACCTGTGAACACTACTGTTATTCACTCTGATTTTGAAGACCCAGGTAATATAATCATGAGCTAATGGTCCCAAAATATTGGGGAAAAAAACCCAAAACCTTAATGAATATTAAAGACTACAAAAAATTTTCTGGAAACTTAAGTAATTGGTAATTACATTAAAAAAAAACTTTTGTCAATATCGTCAACGATCAGATGGAAATGAAAAGGAAAAAAATAACACCCAGTAACAAGAGCCATTAAACATTCCAAAATTTAGAATGGGGAACGTTTTCGCAAGTTAACGAATAGAATTTGGAACAGCCCATAAAGCAATCTGACAATATATAAACAGTCCCAGAAATATCTGACAAGATTAAAATTATTTACTTGCATAAGTAAAAGATATTATAATGACTTTAATGTTGAAACGACATGACTATAATCAAGTATACTGGTACTATCCATTAAAATGTTTAAACGACACAAACACACTCATTTGAAACTTTAGAAATAAAATGCACCAGCACGCAAGCACAATACATGAAATCAGTACGAAGGGTTGCCTACTGCCATGTTTTACGACAGAGCACACTAGAACAGGTGTGTTAATACATAAATATGGGAAAGTTTTTTTAATCAAAAGAATAAACTGGACTGTTCCACGCTTTGTACTTGCGTTAACTGACAATAATTTCAGCTGAGTCAATATTACAACATGATCATTAACTTTTTAAAGGAAAAACCCAAACCTATATGAGATACCAAATGTCCAGATATACCGAGTCTGCGAGAACTGGCTTAATTTCAAAGAGAGATGAGTATGAGATGAACGTGGGGGGTGAAGTGGAGTTGGGTGGATTTGATAAATATATACACATAATAGTTCTAATAAGCATACATTGTTGTTAAAAGACTATTAAAATTAGGTATAATCGAAGAGAGAACGATAGTGTACAAGACCATGAAAATAACTCTAAACACGGCCGGCAGCGGTGGGCTCACTCCTATAAAATCCCAGCACTTTGGGAGGCTGAGGCGGGCGAATCACGAGGGTCAGGAGATCGGAGCCATCCTGGCTATGGTGAAACCCCACGTCTATTGTAAAAATATACAAAAAAAATTAGCTGGGTGATGCAGAGAATAGCACACATATAGTCCAGATGCTGGGGAGGCTGAGGCAAGAGAGAATGGCAGTGAACACCAGGAGGCGAGCTTGCGTGAGCCGAGACCCACCACTGCCACCTCCGACCAGAGCGAGACTCTGGTCGTCACACAACTCACTCAAATCACATAAACAACAAATAAAATAATTTCAAAAATAAAATGCCAGTAAGACACACAGATTAAAGATACATACAGCAGGATACCATATAGCTAATTTAAAAAGTTATCTCTATAATAACAAACAGACATGTTTAGCACATGCCCTGTGCAGACAAGCAACAGATACCCAGCAAGCAACAGTGGTTCACATTGGAGGGAAAAACAGCCAAAATAGTAGACAAAGAGGAATTTTAGAGTTAACTCTCCACTATTATCAAACTTTTACAAAATTTACTTAATGTTATTATTATAAAGATTGAAAAATATATTTAAAATTATTTTTAAATAAAGCCTAACTTTAAACAAAATTTTGGTTTTATTAACGTGTATTATTAGCAAGATCATCATAATATACAGGAAAAGGTTTCTTTCTATGTTGTCTTCCTGAAGGAGTAAAACGTAAGTACTTTGCAGTTTACACATAATTTATATAGATGTTACATTTAGACATTCTGTGGAGGTATTTCTGCTTTTAACTATGGTATATTTCTTAATGAGCTGCACTGAAGTAAAACAATCATTTTTAGGGGGGAAAAAAAAGCCAAGATATTTTCTAACTTAAATAAGGATGAGCCTACTTTTAATTTGTAAAAAGATTGGCAGTACATATGCAAATGAATGTTTCAAGAAACATCACTCCTGTAATCCACGCACTGTTGAGAGGCCAAAGTGCGTGGTGGATCACCTGAGGTCCGGAGTTCGAGACCAGCCTGCACAGACACTGCCTGTGAAAACCCCCTCTCTCTAAAACTACAAAAATTAGGTCGCGTGATGGTGGCCACACACATGTGAATCCAGATACTTGGGACGGTTGAGGCACAGGAATCGCTTCAATACATGGGAGGCAGAGGTTGTGTGACCTACTTGCACCACTGCATTCACACCTGGGCAAGACAGTGAGACTTTGTCATCAATCAATCACAATCAATCAATTACAAAAGATAAAAATTTTTAGCTATTGTTTGTGTAATAAAATACCACAAGTAGCTAAGTATAAATCAACAAAATTAAGCTCTATCCCCACATTGTGCTGTACTCCTCAGATTAAAAGGGCAGTGCAAAATAGTAAATTATCCCTGCATTCTTTGCATTAAAAAATACAAATAAGATATTATAAATACAAAATTATTTTTAAAAAAAGAAAAGTGAAAAAATGAGTTAAAAATGAGTATTTTTAAACATAATGAGTTACCCACAAAATTTTAATAGTTTTACAGATCTCTATTGCTCTGTACAAAGCAGAATTTGTTTAGAAAAGGTA